CTGGTGTGTGACTGTCTCTAAACACACAGGCCAGGTTGACTCAGGAGCCACAGAGCCATGCACAGCCAGCATAGCTGGAGTAGCTGGTGGCACAACTGCTTTGAAGGTCCCATGAGTCACCAGGGGCAGCAGACACCATGCTGCATACTCACCCTCTGTTCAACTGAGGGAAGGCCAGTGGCAACACCCAGCTCCTAGGCTTGATCACCAGCCAGTCCTTGTGATGTTCTGGATCTCCTGCACAGGCGCTTTTCTCTCCCACTGCTTGCAACCTCTAGAGTTATCTACTTATCCACCGCTCCTCAGCTGGTGCTGGCTGGGAGCATCCTGGGTTAGCTCTCCTCCCTTCTCCTGCCTGGCTCAGAGCACAGAAACCTGCCTGTGGTTGGTGGTGGCCAGGTGCTGTTCCATGCCAGAGCACTGAACCTTCAGCATTAGCCTCCTGTCGGCGTGGGTTGCTCCAGTTTGTCACTCCTTCACACCCTGCTCTCCTAGGAAATCAGCACTTTTTGTGTTTTGAGTGTCTCCAAATACACTGTACTCAACACAGGGACTGTCTTCTCCCACCACTAGGCAATGTCACTCTCCCATATGTATTTATTGAGGGAAGAGCAGTTTCAGGCCAGCCTTTGGAGAGATGTAGCCTTCTGAGTCTTCCTCGATTGAGACAGGGAAATCCCACCCAGCTTCCTGAAGATCTCATAGTTCCCAACTTCCCAGAGATCTCACCAATCCTTGCACAATTCAGGGCCTTAACAACACCTCCATTCATGGAAACAAGCGATACGAGGACTGACGGGAAGCCATCCTACAAGTTTCTTCCACAGTTCTTTGTTGGTTTGTTCTAAGATGCCTCTTCTAACAGGAGTCCCAAGGGAGCCTGGGAGATTTCGACTCCATAAAATATGTGCTTACAACACTACCCACAGCAGAAAAGTTATTTGCCACCTGAAAGATGAAATGGAAGGACACATAAAGAAGCACGGGGGTATGGCAGTGCTGTGATGGGTGGTTTCGCATGTTTTTCTTTTAACTCTTCTTTCTTACTGAAGACGGAAATTCTCGTTGTCTTGGAATTTAACAAGTCAAAACTCTGGCTTGTGGAAGCAGGAACAGCATTATCAAAAAGAAAAGAGCTAGGCCAGTGCGTCTTAAGGACTTTGGTCTTGTTATTTAGGTTGTCTTAAGTTTTCTCCAGCACATCTTCATGAAGCAACTTGCAGTGTTACTAAACATTACAAATCCGTTGTGTTGCAGCATTACAGATCCTGGCTGCTCCGTTTTCAGAAAGTGGATGCTGCTAAAAATTACATGAATGATGAAGAAATACAAATTAACACACCCATGGACCACAGGCCAATGGTGAGACATAAACACATCTGACCCCTAAGAAAAAAACAGGGCTCCACCTCGTGTTATATAAAATTGAAGGTGAAGTAATACGACTTATTCCTACTTTTCCCATTGGAAAGCTTACTACCGTGAATCCATCCACATGTTTCTCTGTGGTTTTGTGGTTGAAATGAGGCTGGATTTATTTGGCTTTCGCTGGTTTTAGTTACAGTCTGAGGAAGGAACATAATTGTGGTTAGGCTAGGATGAAGTTAGAGCCAGCACAACCCTCTGAGAGATGGCTCAGTACTGGCTCTTCTCCATGGCAGATCTCAGCCTGGAGCCGAAGGCTGGCACTAAGCCTATGGAGCAGCTCTCTGCTCAACCTTAGCCAGAGAGAAGAAAAGCTGTGATCAAGACCCCATACAAACACAGGCATCTCACCTGACTCTCTGGAGCAGTTAGTTCATTGTAGACGTGCCCACCTAACAACGAAGGCATTTGGAGATGGTGCTGCTGTTCCCAGGGGTCACCAGGCTGGTGCTTGCACAGACACCCTGCTCACCTCAAGATATTAAGGAAATAACACTTTAAAAATGGGAGGAAGGGGAAGAAACAAACCAAAAAAACCCCCACTGAATTGGCACAGGGCAATACACACCCACCAGGACACTTGCCACATCCATACATCTTGTTTCCCCTCAGAAATGGGAATTTCTAGGTTGTGACTCAGAGAAGACTGGAGTCTGCTGGTAGCAAAAATATACTAACTTGGTCAACCATGAAAATGGGCTTAAGACCTCAATTTTTGTTCGTGTTCTGTCCACAGAGGTCATGTCACAGCAAGCTGGGGTCCGGTGGAGTAGACTATCCAGGGCCCCAAGGAAACCTGTTTTTCTAGAACTTCTTCCCTGGCTCCTCTGTCTATAGCCAAGATGGGAAGCAGCACCAAAATTGGCTCTTATCTGGCAAAAGTGTCCCTGTCAACATATGGGAGAAGATGATGGTGCGTGCTAGGAAGGGTAGAGAGAAGTCAGGGGGCTTCTGCAGAACTGACTTACCTATTTAATGTAAGCATCTGCGGAAAAAAAGCTCCTCCCTGATCCCTGGGATCTCCTGGAAGAGGGACTACTTCACTTCCTCTCCAGAGCCCCAGTAGAGATGCATCTTCCAGAAGCTGTAGAGCTGTATCATGCGAAAGCCAGATCGACAAGCATGTCCATGACCAATGGTGGACTGGAACCAACTGTACATTCCTCATGGTGCCCAAAACCCAAATACCTGCTCCAATACCTGAAGAGCAGTGGTACTCTTTCCAGAAGCCTGGTTTTATCCCTTGCTTGAGCACATAGACCATTTTTGAGCAATTTTGAGGCTGTGCTTCAACTCCGGAGTCACCGTGTTTAGTTTATTCCCAGGCAATGCCACAAACCCATTTTGCTGTTGGTTAGGGGAAATACTCGGTGTCAGGTTATGACTGTGTTGCAATATGCTGTTTTCTACCTGGGATGAGCTGAACTGGCCAGAGGAGAGAGGGAGCTGGTGATCTCTGAATCAATATTTGCTCCTCAATCTTGCTTAACTTCCAAACAACACACAGCAAACACAGAGCACTCTGTCAGTTTTAAGTAGCTCTTTCCGGCTCAGAGCTCAAAGCTTCTCGACAGACTGTAGTCTCTTTTCTGAAGCTGCTTGCCATGTCATACCATCACAGGCTTTTCTTTGGGGCTCTAACTAATGAACGGGACAGCTAGGTGCCAGAAACCAAAAGCTTTCTACCTCACACAGCTGTTTTACAGCAAGGTGTCACTGCTCATGGGCCATTGCTGCACGTTCCCCGTGTGGCAAGTTCCAACCAACCCAACTTTGATGGAGGGGGAAGGGTTTTCTTGGCTAAGAAGCAGTCATGCTGCCAACTCTCCACAAAAATGACCAGCCCCATTCCTGAAGTAGGTGGAGATTTGTGCTCTGTCAGCCAGAGGTCAAAAACTCCCATCAGATATTAAATAGTGACATATCTCAAATATTGTGTTCAGTTTTGGGTCCTCACTACAAGAAAGACATTGAGGAGTTGGAGTATGTCCACAGGAGGGCAACGAAGCTGGTGAAGGGGCTGCAGCACAGACCTTAGGAGGATCGGCCAGGGGAGCTTTATGTATTCTGGAGAAGGGGAGGCCCTGGGGGGAGACCTTATTACTCTCTACAACCACCTGAAAGGAGGCTGTAGTGAGGCGGGGGTTGATCTCTTCTCCAGAATAACTACGGATAGAACAAGAGGAAACGGCCTCCAGTTGCACCAGGGGAGGTTCAGGCCAGGCATTAGGAAGAACTTCTACATGGAAAGAGCAGTCAAGCATTGGAACAGGCTGCCCAGGGAAGTGGTGGAGCCACCGTCCCTCGCAGTGTTCAGGAAACG